AACAATTACAACTAAAAAAAAAAAAAGTTGAGGGCCAGGGATTTAGCTCAGTGGTGCTGCTGCCTGTTTCAAAAGCGCAAGGACCCGAGTTGGATCCCCAGTACAAAAATAATTAATTAATTAATTAAAATAGCAGTTGATATTCATATAAAAAAGAAAAAGAAAGATCTTAGACTTCCACCTCCAGAACTGTGATCTCTTAATTACTTTTCTCATTGCTCAGAAAATCTACCCAACACCCAAAGTTAAAGGAGAAAAAGTTTATTTTAGTTCATAGTTTGTAGAGGTTTTGGTCCAATCAACAAGGTGCAAGGCAGGGTGGCATGGCAGAGGGGCATCGCAGAGCAGACATGGTCCATGACAAAGCAGGGCAGGCAGAAAGCAACAAAGCAGCAAAGCAGCAAAACAGCTTCTTTCAGTCCTTTTATAGTCCATCCAAGCTACTTGACTTTTGGGTAGTGTCACCCACACCCAGAATCACATACCATAATCCAACCACCTTCAAAATTCCCCATCTATGACCACATGAGGCTTTGGGGGCACATCTAGATACAAGTCATAAAATGTGACAAATTTGTTATTTAAGCCACCCAGTTCTTTATACTGTTATGGTAAACTGAGCAGACTAATACAGTTCTTGTACCTTCTGTTAATTGTTTAGTTTTTTTATTTCTTTGAACATAATTATTATTAAGATTACTGTCTTTGTCTAGTAAGTCCAATATCTGGGCTTCTTCAGGGGCAGTTTCTATTTTACTGCTTTCTTTCCTGTATATAGGAAATTCTTTGCAGGTCTTCTAAAATTCTTTTGAAAACTAGACATAAATAATTCAACATGACATCTTGGGAAAACAGATTCTCCCTCTGCACAATATTTGTTGCTACTGCAGCTTATTGTTTCTTTTAGTAACTTGTCTGAATTAATTATGTAAAGTCTGGATATTTTGTTATATGTAGCCATGGAATCTCTGCTATTAGTCCTCAGCTAATGATAGGGATTTCATTAGATGTTCGGAACCAGTAAGTGTCCGGCTCTGTACACACAAATGTGTTAGAGCACACCTTTAACACTCAATCAGGCAGTTTAAAACTGTGTTAGCTTTCACTCCTACTTGCACAGGGCCTCAAGACCAACCAGAACTGAGAGTGTGGGGCTTTCTTTGGTCTTTCCTCAGCATACACATTGCCCTACACTTGTGTGTAGCCTTCTAGATTCCCAGAAATCAATCAGAGCTTTACAAATTCCCTTATAAACATCACATTCCCCAGCTTTTTCTTTTAAGCTTTTAAACCAGCCAGTTGTAATGTTATTCACCATTACAAGCACTAGAGGCACTAGAGATGTTCAACAATAACTTCTAATTGTTTTCAGAGAACATGAAATGGTGTAAACTCCCAAGTCAGGTCAAATACAGATGGTCTTCTGAAGGCAGTCTTTCAAGGAACCAACAGTTAGGTAAAATAATGACAATTTTCTGAGAATGGAGCTTTAAAGAAACTCCATAGTCATTCTGCCCTTTCCAGCGGCTACTGGTTTACCACAATTGAACGCTGTTGGTTTTCATAGCTATCCTGGAGCTGGTGAGAGGGCAGTGGGAAAAGGGCAAATTAAAACAACATGTTTGCTGGTTTTGCCCAGATTCAGCCATTTTTCTTGAGTAATGTTCCCAGACTACTTCAAGTCTGTGGTTAATTCCCAATGTTCTGAAAAAGTTGATTCTGACAAGTTTTGCCAGTGTTGTCACTGCTTTTATGGAGGAGTTTGCAGGTGTTCTTATAGACATTTTTTGCTGACATCCTCTGCAATGAATTTTGAAAGTCCTTTAGCTCAATTTATATATTTAATATTTTCATTTTAAAAATTTCAATATTTGCAGTTCTCCTTTACCTTTTCTTCTAAAGTTACTAACAATGCTTAACTTTGAATATTTATTGTTTATACTAATCATTAGTTCTGATCTCATTTAAGTGTTAATACCTCTCTAGCATTAATTTTCCTCAAATTACTAATAAAGCTAGGTAATTAATTAGTACAGCTAAACAATTTTTCCTCACATTGCATGAGAACCTTTGTTTATCCATTGGTGCACACAGGTTCCAGTTATCTATAACCACCTCTATTAACTGCAGAACAGAGATGTAATATTCAGTTAGGCATGTCTGCAGATAATTCACTCCCTAAATACAAATCCTTGTTTCTCCTAAACATCATATAAATTATATATATAATTTAGCTAGTTTACTATACCAAAATTTTCACTTTAGAGAGGAGCTATCATAGCTACAAGCTGAGGAAAACTCTACAGTTACCTACTCTGCTTTTTCCTTCCTCTTTGTTGTAAAGGTCTAGAGTAACTTCAGGCTGTATTTGCTTCTTTGTCTAGCCTCAAAATTTGTTCATTCATTTCTCTTTTTTTTGGTACCGGGGATCAGTAGGCAGGTGGCAGCACCACTGAGCTAAATCCGCACCAGTTCATTCATTTGTAAAGCATTTAATGTTTATTACATGTCAGGTACTAGGCTAGGTGATAGAAATTCAGTGATTAAAACAAAGTCCACTGCCTCAGGCAACTTATTCTGATGAGGAAGTAAAGAAATATTGTACATAAGGTAATATAATTTCACAAAGTGATAAATACTACTGAAAATAAAGGATAGAGAGTGACAACAAGGAAGCTATTTCAGATGAGGTGGTAATTTCTCTGAGGTGGTAATCAGCAGACACATGAATAATGGAGATACCTCTGAAAAACAAGAGACCTCTAATATATACAGGAAGGCTTTCCAGAAAGGAACAAGCATAAAGAAACAGAAAGTAACATCTTGGCACATAGTGAAAGGGGCAGTGTGAGCAAGTGAATGAATGAATTTTAAGAAATGAGGCCAAGAAGCAGACAAGAGCCAGATTCACAGCTTTTGTTGTTGTTGTTTTGCTGTAGTTGTTTTGTTTTGTTTGAGACAAGGTCTCACTTTGTAGTTCAGGCTCACACTGAAATCACTATGTAGCCCTAGGCTGGCCTTGACCAAACTCACGGCAATTCTCCTGCCTCAGCCTCCTGGGAAGACAGGCATGCATCATCAATGCCCAGCCAAGTTCATAGCTTTTAACTCATATTGGAAAGTCAATGGGAGTCAAGCAAAAGAATGACATGCTTTGATTTACATACACTTAACGCTATCTGGCAAATATGCTGCCTCCCTGGGCAGAGTGTTCAAAGTGTTTGAAAAGCATTTTTTTTTTTTTTTTTTTTTTTTTTTGGTATCAGGGATTAACTCTGGCCCTTAGCACTTGCAAGGCAGGTGGTGAAACCACTGAGCTAAATCCCCAGCCCTGAAAAGCATTTCTTTGGGCTTTATCCAAGAGACAAACAGATGCTCCAAATGAAGGGCAAGAGCCAGA